CTCCTAGGTGTTCCCCTATCCTGTAATCCTGCAGAAGTGAGAACATCGATGTACCCTCCCTCCCCTCCGCCTGCGCCACTCAGGGGACCCAGCCGTGGGCTCCGGTGTTAATGCTGTGCAACTGCACTGCCTCCCGGGGGCTCTTCCCTTGCATATAGGCCCTTGGGGCCTGAGCCCAAAAGAATGTGATAGCCGTTGGCACTTAATCTGGTCCCCTTCTGGACAGAGCACAGTCCCCCATCGAGGGCAAGCCCTATCCGGTTAATCATTAGACTCTTAACTGCAGACCAAATGGAGGGAGTTTTCTTCTGCCTTAGAACTCCTTTTAACAGACTTTACTTCTTACAGCAGCGTAGGTTCGCGGCAAGATTGAATGAAAAGTACAGAGAGCTCACATATACCCTCCCCGCTGTGTGAACAGCATCCTGCCTGCATCATCACCTCCCACCAGTGGGGGACATTGGTTAGAATCGACGATCCTGCGTGGACACGTCATAATCACCCGCAGTCCGGGGTTTACATCAGGGTTCACCGTTGTGCAGTCTGTGGGTGTGGACAGGTGTATGATGACACGTATCCACCAGCATAGTGCCGTGCAGAACAGTTTCCCTGCCCTGACCTCTGCTCACCAGTTCCCACTCTCTCCCCCTAGCCCCTGACGATCAATCCATCTTTTTCCTGTCTCCATAGCTCTTCCTTCTCCAAAATGGCACGTAGAGGAAACCACACAGTGTGCAGCCTTTTCACGTTGGCTTCTTCCGCTGAGTTACTCGCATTAAGTTTCCTCCGTGTTTCATCGCTTGAGAGCCCACATTTTAGTGGTGAGAAGACGGCCGTCTGTGACCCGGGCAGCAGGCCCTCACCAGTACCCTGGTCGGGGACTCCCCTTCTCCAGACCTGTGAGGAATAAATGTGTGGTTTATAAGCCACCAGCCTCCGCCACCCAAGCTGGCTTAGACAGCCAGTGTTTGAGATGTGATTGACATACGATACACTGCACGTATTTAACAGCTTTATCGAGGTCTAATTCACATACTAAATCCATTCATTCAACATGTAGAGTTGAATAATATTTAGCATATTCACAAAGTTTACACATATTTAAAATGTATCGCTTGGACCCAGCGGGTGAGGCTCAGTGGTTGAGCGACGACCCAAGAGGTCACCGGTTCGATTCCAGGTTGTGGGCCCAATCCCCAGCGGGGAGCATGCAGGAGGCCACCAATCAGTGTTCTTTCTCATCTATGTTTCTATCTCTCTTTCCTTCTCCCTTCCTCTCTCTCTAAAATCAATAAAGGAAAAAAAATTTTTTTAATAAAAAAAAAAATGTATCACTTGGTACATTTTGACATATGTCCATACTCCTGAAATAATCACCATAATTATGATAAATATCCATCACTCCCAGAAGTGTCCTCATTTATAAGTTCTTTCCCTTCCTCGACAACCACTGATCTGCTTTCTGTCCTATAATGTCATTTGCATTTGCAAGAATTTTATAGAGCCCGGCCAGTGTGGCTCAGTTGGTTGAGCATCGTCCTGTGCACCGACAGGTTGCTGGTCCCATTCCCTGTCAGGGCACATGCCTGGGTTGTGGGTTCCATCCCTGCTCAGGGTGCATGTGGAAGGCAACCAATTGAGGTTTCTCTCTCCCACCCTCCCTCTCTCTCTCTCTGAAATCAATAAAAACATATTTTTAAAAAAAGAATTTTCTACAAATGAAAACATATAGCATATACTCTTTTGTTGTTTGTGTTTTGGTCTGGCTTCATCAAAAATTCAGCATAATCATTTGAAGATGCATTCATGCTGTAATATGGTATCACTAGTTTCTTGTTTTGTTGTTGCTGAGAAGTATGCAACTGTTTGCTTATACCACAGTTCATCTGTTCCCCAAGTGATGGAAATTGGGGTGTTTGCAGTCTGGGGCTGTTACAGTGGACCTGCCGTGAGCATTTAGGTACACATCTTTGTGTGACTTACCCTTTCCTTCTTCCTGGGTAAATACCTGGGAGGGGCATATAGATCATGGAAGGAAGGTGCTTCCAGGGGCTCCCCTCCCTCCCCAACACCCTGTGTGGTCAGTCCCATTCATCTCAACCATTCTCATAGGTGAGAAGTGGTGTGCCTCATGGTTTAAGCTCTAGTGGTCCTAACCTCTAGGAACTCCCGTTAAAGACCACCCGGCATCACTTCTCCAAGCCTTTGCTCAGGCTGCTCTTGCAACCTAGGTCCCTCTCTGCCCACCCCTCTCAGCTCACCAGTCTTCCTGTAACACTCAGCCGAGCACTGCTGGGCCTCCAGGCTGTGGACATACCCGCAGAATGCTGTGGGTAATTTTCTCAAAGCCTATTTGCATCATGACGAGGTCCTCTGTGTGGCTGCCTTCCCTGCTCAAGGACGGGGACCCAGCACAGTGGGCACCCCCTAGACCTGCTGCAATGAACGTGATGCAGAGACAGGACTCACCCCAATCAGTGGCATTCTTTCCACACGACTTGAAAAAGCTCTGTTTTTCCTCGTTTAAAGAGAACTGTCATCACAGCGATTGTTATTTGAAATGTACTGATCAGAAACAAGGTGTAGCTTTGGTAACACTTGAAAATGAAATGACCAACTGCCCTCATTCTTAAAAACATCGTTCAAACATAGAACGTGAAATATAAATGAAGTCACAGGAACTCATGGACGTCAAGGAAATTAAATTTTGTTTGAATGAGGGCCGCCCAGTCTGTCTTCACTTTATGATCTTAAGGTCTCCTGCCTCCAAACATTGTAAAGTAATTTTTGAGCAAACTCGTGTTAGTCATTTACACCTGTACCATTTTGTTTATGTTGGTGAGTGGGGAAGGGGCGGGGTGTTGAAAATATATCTCAAGCAGCCTCCAAGAAATTTTTGGTTGTCGGTAATATCTGCGCGTTTTCTGCTCCCCGGGTAGTGGTCAGTCTGAGCTGGCTTTCACAGGGTCGCAGGAGGGGTTGGGAACAGGAAAGAGCACGCAGGTCTCCAGGACAGGGGCTCCCGGTAGTAAGGGGATGGCAAAGAGGTGACGTTTCAAAGTCCGATTACAAGTGGCAGCTTTGGAATCCGGAGTGATGGTCGCCGAGGCTTTAAAGCCTGTGGGTTTCCACCTGCTGTGCTCGGACAGTGGCCCTTGGTTTTTAACCCAGTGACAGCGGAGCTCAGAAACATGCCCCCGCCGTCGGGGGGCTGCTGACGCTGCTGGAATAATGCTCCGAACGAAGCGGCAGCTAAAGCCGCTAACAGAGAGCACCAGAAAGCGGGAAGCCCTCGGGCAGGCGGGCTGACTAATCAAGATTATTTTGAGACAGTCCTCCCAGAGTGGGTTTCGTTCCAAAGCAAGGTAACCCATCCATCATGAGCTAATGAAGCCCCAGGAAGATCAGGACGGTCACGGTAAGACGAGGAAGTGTATGATTAAAGCCCGTGACAAAGTGGCCCCTGCAAGAACACCGTGTAAAGCCGGGCTCGCAAACCCGCCCCCTGGGGGTCTCGTGGAAATGGGGCGGGGGGTCCTCCGTGCCTCAGCACAGCACCTGTGGCGTGCGGGTGCTGAGAATGCGGACTGAGGAAATGGTGTGTTTTGTCCTCTTAGAACAGATCGCGAAGGCATCCGCTGGGGGAGCCCTCTGTTGTGCACAGTCCTGTTCGTTTCTGGCGGGTATAGAAATGAAGTTCTGATTTCTGTCTTCTGCTTTAGGAAAAGAACCAAAGGGAGTGGAAATTTCTTCATCGATGGCACCTTGAAAAAGTCCTTTGAAAAAACTCCAGATTGAGTTGTCTTTGGGGAGGTCTCAAAATACCATGCCATTTATTGCACCGACGCTTCTGATTGTTGAGTGACGTTCAATTCAATCCAGTATGTTGCCTGCACATGGCAGGAGTAACAGGCATTCCGAAAAATGGCTAGCTAAACGTTCACAGAACCGCCACTGTTCTGGTTAGAACTTGAAAACAACGTCTGTCTGATCTGAGTATCAGCTGGTCGTTAGTCCAGGACCACCCTGTGTTTGGGTAGGTGCTACCACGTGGTCATTTCAGGCGCAGATTTTTTTTTTTTTTTTATCCTCACCCAAGGACATTTTTTGTTCAGATAGAGTGGGAGGGAGAGAGAGGAAGAGAGAGAGAGAGAAACATCGATGTGAAAGGGACACATCGAATGGCTGCCACCCACATGACCAACCAGGGCCGGGGGCAAACTGCAACCGAGGTACGTGCCTTTAGCGGGAACCAAACCCGGGTCTCTCTGGACCGCAGGCGGACGCTCTAACCGCTGAGCCAAACTGGCCAGGGCTCAGGCGCAGATTTTTGAAGCCAAACTCCCTGGATTCAAATCCAGGGCGTCCCACCATTTACTGACTGCGCGCAGTGCTTTACTCACGGAGAAAGCGGGTCTGTGCCCTGCAGGTGTTATCGGGTGGAGTGTGTTTATATTTGTAACGCTCTTACAATAATGCTCTAGCCCTGGCCAGTATGGCTCAGCGGTTAGAGCGTCGGCCCACGGACCAGGGAGTCCCGGGTTCGGTTCCCGCTAAGGGCACCTACCTCAGCTGCAGTTTGTCCTCAGCCCTGGTTGGGGGTTGTGTGGGTGGCAAACACTCAATGTGTCTCTCATGTCAACGTTTCTCTCTCTGTCTCCCTCCCTCCCTCCCTCCCACTCTATCTGAAGATAAATGCAAAAATGCCCTCAGGCGAGGATAAAATAAATAAAGAAAGAAAGAATGCTCTATTAACAATAGTTAAATATATGACTGAAATAAAGTGAGTTAATGCCACATCTTAGTTGCCCTGTGGATTCCAGAAGGCCGGTTTCCTTTTCACCAATTAAGTGTCTCTCTGGAAGCTTTTCCCAGTAAGTAGCTCGGTCTGAAAAAAGGGCATTTCAGCCCACAGACGGGGAACCCGAGCAAACTGGCGAGGGTGGGAGTCCACTGGTTTCCTCGCGTGGTTAGACTCATTGGGCCCTCTGGTTTTGCAGCTGGTGATGTACGTCGGCCAGGTGGCCAAGGATATCCTGAAGTGGCCCCGCCCCTTCTCCCCGCCGGTGGTGCAGCTGGAGACCAGAGTGGTGGCGGAGTACGGGATGCCGTCCACCCACGCCATGGCGGCCACCGCCATCTCCTCCACGCTCCTCCTCTCTACGATGGACAGGTACCAGGTGAGGCGGCCGACCCCTCGCCCTCCCGTGGAAGGCCCTCCACACACTGAGGGAACAGAGAGGGGTTCCACTTCAGAATTTTCTTTTAGAGCTGCTTTGGGGGACTTGGAGGTTTACGAAATGAAGTCTAAAGGGGACTGAAACCTACTGAGCTGTCGATGACAATTTCTTCATGAGTAATGTGACTGTTGTTCAGCATCCAAATCAAGTTGTGCCTGAGAATGATCGGGGACACCACCAATAACGATACCAGCATAACAGGGACTGTCGGGGAACCGGGTGTGTAGTCTCCCCCTCGAGAAAGCTGTTTCCCCTGAACTGCCTGACAGCACTGGAGTCGGGGCTCACGTCCTATTTGCAACAGACACGAGGCCCTTATGATCCTGGTAATGGATCCCCCAGGGCAGAGACGAGTCTGCCAAAGCCTCTGCCAGACTTCCCAGGGCCAGGGGCGAAAGAGTCGGTGCCCCAAATTACTCCCCAAGGAAGCCTGTGGCCCTGCTTGGGCTCAGCCGTCAGAAGTGATAGCTCCATCCTTTCCAGCAAACTGTCTAAGTCACAGGAGATTAATAAATGCTGAAACAGAAGAATTTCATTCAATATCTGCTTACGTGCCAAGTATTGTCAGACCTTTGAGAAAAGTTAGGTTATTACTGCACTGACGTTTTGTTTTGACTGTCTGAGAAATCTTGCTCTAGTTTGGTTGAATGTCATCATTTTATCTTTGATCCTTTAGGAAATTTAGATTTCATTAAATCTAGCAGTCCTATTCCTAAGTGGCGGCATTGTTTCGCCCTGCCCCTGTACCCAAGAAACCCAGGGATGTTCTACATGCCAGGTTTTACAGAAGCAGGGGGGTCAGCCTGATGAGCTGGAAGAAGACAAGACTAGCGTTGGGCCTGGCTCTGCCTCGGCTGTCATCTACCTGGTCACCTGGGGTTAGACCTCGGTGTCCTAAATGGGAATGTCTAAGGAATGTCTCCAACCAGGTATAATCTTGTGTCGTAATTTGCTTCGATGTCGTGCCCGGTTCAAAAACTGAGCACCCCAGGACTGTCTAAATTAATTTAATGAAGACTTCTGAGCTATTTCATGCCCAGTGACATCTACCCCCAAAGGGGACATCGTGGGCCCAGCATCAGCCCCCATTGGGCTACTCTCAGCATCCAGAGAGGCCTGAGAACATGCTGATGTTACTTTGGAAAAAACCAGCAAGTAGAGGGAAACCACCCCACCACCAATAATACGCTCATTTTCAGGCCACCTGCGCCTTTTGAAAAATTCTTTTCAGCTCACATGATGCAACGGTTTTCTTAAGGCCTGAGTGGTTATGGTCTTCTTTCCTATTTAATTTTCATGATAAATATATTTAGGTATTTGAGTTATTGCTCCTAAATAACACTAAATATGGATTCGTTTATATAAATAGGCTTTGAGCCTCATACCAAACCCAAATTTCAGAATGCATTAACTCATTAATTTTTAGCACTCTTCTGGTGAAAAACTGACACCCATTATCATTAAGTTAATGATAAACCTTAAGAAAAGATGTACAGACATGCATTACTGTGTTCACATGTTACATTGGAAAGACTGCTGGATTCAGCCTCAGAAGATGTGGCTTCTGGTTCTGACTGTCACTTCTGGCTGTGTGACCTTGGAAAAGTCATTTTGCCTGTCTAAGACCTGGCTCCTGTTTTGAGGATCAACAGTGGTGATTGATGGGGAAGGATCTTTGTGCTAATGTTTAATACTTATGCAAGTATGCCCTGACTGGTTTGCTCAGCAGTTAGAGCGTCGGCCCGTGGACCAAAGAGTCTTGGGCTTGATTCTCGGTCAAAGGCATGTACCTCAGTTGCAGGTTCAATTCCCGGCCTGGTCTGGGTTGTGTGGGAGGTAACCAATCACCGTGTCTCTCTCATATAGATGTTTCTCTCTCTCTCTCTCTCCCTCCCTCTCTGTCTGAAAATTAATGGGAAAATGTCCTCAGGTGAGAATTTAAATAATACTAATGCAACTTATTGTGACTAAGGGTTTCTTCCTTTGTAGAATGCGGCTAATGATAGAACCTACCTCCTAGGGTGAAGATTAAATGAGATAGTGACTATAAAGTGCTTTGCACAATATAGACAGTTCTCCATTTTATTTTATTTTTTTATTGATTTTTAGAGAGCGAGGAAGGGAGAGGGAAAGAGATGAAAACATCGATGAGAGAGAACATCAGTTGGCCGCCTCCTGCACACCCCCACTGGGGATCGGGCCCACAACCCGGGCATGTTCCCTGACTGGGAATCAAACTGGTGACCTCTTGGTGCCTGGGTCGATGCTCATAAGCAGAATATCCACATGTTCCTAGTAAGATTCGGCATTAGCGCATTCCTGGGTCTGCTCTCCCACCAGCAGAGCTTGAGACTGCATCAAGTCTTGACACCTGTACATAAACACCCCGTTCTTGGCTTGGGCCCGCTGTTGCCCAGCTTCGTGACCTCAGCGTGTGTGAGGGAGGCGACTGGACTGGCCGAGCCCACACCGTCTGTCTGGCTTGCTCTTCCCTCGGCACAGCAGGCTTCCTGAACTTTCCCCAAGAACAGGTAGAATAACTAGCTACTCACGGAAGCAGCCAGCACAGTAGCTGCACGAGTCTGCAAGCCGAGTTCTACCACGTCTCATGCTGTGACTTCCTCCCAGAACAGCATTCCCAGGCATCTCCGCCCTTCTTCCTGCATCTTCCCGTTTGGGCGTGTTTCAGGTCGTCGGATTGCTGGCTTCGGGCGTGCGAGGTGGAGACCAGCAGTCGCTGGTCAGGAGTCCTCTGTGGCATGCCTGTGTGTGTGAGCACAAGCTGACGTCCCGTGTCCTTTCTTCCCCGCAGTATCCCTTCCCGGTGGGGCTGACGATGGCCGTGGTGTTCTCCACGCTGGTGTGTCTCAGCAGGCTCTACACCGGGATGCACACGGTCCTGGTAAGGCTTTTGGGTTGGGTCTGGGGGTGACCATCTGGGTAGTATTGTGGTTGGTGTGTCAGTGGGTTCTTCATATGGTATTTTTATAAAACTATTTGTATATGTAATTACATTGGCCACCAGGCCAGTCTGTTAAGTAATTATTATTTTATGGCACATCCATAATAACAGTAATGAATAAGAGATAATATCAAGGAGGCTGAGCTGGGCTCGATCCCGGTGACTGAAGATTGTCTGGAACAGTGACAGAGACTTGGGTCATTTATTTTCATGGTGGTTTACTGCCGATGAAGCAAGCAGGAAAAACACCCAGGGTCAAGGGTGCGACGAGTGGACACCATTTTCCACGTGGGTCCTCACAGAGATGGGCTTGCATTCCGGGGTCTCGGCGGCCCTTGAGGGGTGAGGGTCCTGCCAGGTCAGAAGGGCCCAAGTCATGGGCTCGCTTCCTTCTTCACTGCCTGGGCTGGAGGTGGGGAGGGGCAGAGACACACATCTATGTGTGCACCCCCGGGGAGGCCATCCGGGCCTTCCTAAGAATGTCTTTTCAGCCCATGCGGTACAAGTTTTCATAAGGCCTGAGTGGTTATGGTATCCTTTCTTGTGATTTGGCTTATTGCTCAAATGGGTCATCTGCATTGAAAGATCTGTCTAGCCTTTCATGATATTAGTAAATATTTCCTGGGCTGCCACGCTTAGCACGGTTAAAAATTACACAGAATTTGCCTGGCCAGTGTGGCTCAGTGTTTGAGCATCGACCCTTGCACCAAGAGGTGGCCAGTTTGATTCCTGGTCGGGGCACATGCCCAGGTTGCGGGCCAAATCCCCAGTGGGGGGCATGCAAGAGGCAGCCAATCGACATCCTCTCTCATCAATGTTTCTATCCCTCTCTCTTTCTCTCCTTTCCTCTCTCTAAAAATCAATAAAGAAAAAAAAAATTTTTTAAATGATCTTGGGAACTCAGGTTAAAATCAGAGTTAACACTAGGACATGGAGCTGCTGCAGACAGGAATGGAGGGCACAGAATACCCACCTCTGAACACACAGCGACATGACTTGCTTTGCCTTTTACGGTGGGTCCTGGGGATGGGAAAGCAGAGATTTGTAAGGAAGATCATTTAGGCTTCTCCACCTCTCTTTGCGGAGCATCTGACCTGCAGGAAACCAGAGAAGGGGTCGTAGCAGTGTTCCTCCCACCACTGTCGTGCCCCCCAGCAGCTCTGGGGCATCTTTCACGAGCATAATCTCATTTCATAAAGGTATGAGACTCTGACTCAGGCCCAGCCCCAGTCAGGGCCACAGGCATGGCCCAGAGTCCAACGGCACCTAATTTCCAGGAGCAGAGGGAGCAATTGGTGTTAAGAGTAAGATAGAGTTAAATGGTGGGTCGGTGGTCTTCTTTATCCACAAATAACTTAAATAGCTTCTGCTGGTTGCCAGACTCGGAGCTAGATCAGGGACCCCTGAGGGAACAAAACCTACCTCTCCTTCTTGGGTCTTCAAGTTTGTGGATGGAGACAGATGTGGAAGGTCTGATTACTGAACATGACAAGTATTATAAACAGAACAGCCGGATCTGGCTGGCTGAAGGGGCCTGCCTCCGGGCACTGCCTGCACTAATGGTTCTCAGTCTTGCTGCATATTCACATCCCGTGGGAAGCTTTAAAAAATACCTGGAGTTATTTGGACACCCGTGTTCCTAGCAGCAGCATTATTCACAATGGCCCAAAGGTGGAAGCAACCCAGGTGTCCACTGACAGATGACTGGATAAAAAACAGGTGGTACATCCATACAAAGGAATATTATTCAGCCTTAAAAAAGGACATTCTGACACAAGCTACAGCGTGTGAGCCTTGAAGACATAATGCTAAGGGAACTAACCGGTCACCAAAGGACAATACTAAAGGATTCCACTTAGGTGAGATCCTTAGCGTAGTCAAAGTCATAGGGACAGAAAGAGAGTGGTGGTGGCCCAGGGTGCAGGGGAGCAGGGAATGGGGAGTGACAGTTTAATGGGCAGTTTTAGTTTGGGGACACGGAAAAGATCTGAAGACGAATGGTGGTGCTGGTTGCAGAACAGCACGAATGTAGTCGAGGCCAGTGAACTGTGCCCTTTAACACAGTTAAGATGGTAAATGTTATATTTTGTGTTTTTACCACAATTTGATATATATCAGGGGGTCCTGAGCACTGGTGGTTTTTTCCAAAGCTCCGCAGTTGATTTTAGTGGGCAGCCGCGGTCGAGAGCCCGGCTGAGGCGAATTACCCTTCGGAGTGGGACGTGGGTGTATTCCTGAAGGAAACCCGAGTGGGAAGGCGGAGACGCGGCCTGCAGGGCCCACTGCGCCCACCTGGTGCGCGCCGCCGGTGCCCACGGCCTGTAGTCGGCGGCTCTCTGTGCAGAAGGGAAGAGTTCGCGGGCGCTTATCTCGCTCAGGAAGAAACCACTCCTCGCAGAGGCGGGGGGCTGGCTGTGATGCCAGGCCTTCCGGACAGGCTCCAGCTGACCCCCGGGAAGTCCGAGTGCCGCCCGGGGCACTGTGGCCCGTCACACGTGTCACCGTGCTGCCAAACCAGCCCTGCGCTGCCTGGACGTACCAAGACGCCTCCACCAGGAACTGGGCACCCCGGCTCCGGCCTCCCACACCATCAGCCAGGCCCTCGCCAAGCGGATTACTTCTGACTCCTGGAGGTGTGGCAGAGCCGTCTCACAGCCCAGCTGGACGTCTTTCCAAACCCGACGACGCTGGTTCCTGCGCGGTCACTCCATCTCCCGCTGCGTGGGGACATGACAGATAGGCCAACGGTGAGCGGCAGCCGTTTGGGACCCCACCTTTGAGAGAAGCTGGCCCTGTTCGTGGCAAACACGGGGATCAAACACGAGGTCTTGATGACGTTCTTGGGCTGCTGCCATCCTTCCTGGAGGCTCACTGTTCAAGGTCAACGTTCCTTGTGGCTCCAGTTGATTTTTATTGACGTCTTACAGTTCCCGCGGGAAAGCATCCTAACCGATGGTTTGCAGAAACAGCTTTTCGGTGTATAATCCCGTGTCCTCGTGGTTTGAAGAGTAACCCGACTGCAGCCAGCTGGGAGGGAGGGGGAAGGGTAGAATACCTTGGAAGGATGAGGTGGCTCCTGGTCTCCAACACGGATGGGGTCAGCCAGGCCTCAGGAAGGGCCAGCACCAGGGTGACTGTGGGAGTATCTCCCTCTCCCTCCAGGTACCACGGTGAACAGAACCCAGCCCCCACCACCTTCTCTCTCAGATCGGAACCTTAACTTCCAGAGATGACACTCTGATTGAACTGGGCCCTACCCCGGGACCAGTAGGCCTTGGCAGGGCGACAGGGTCGCAGCAGAGAACAGGGTCTCAGAGGCCACCCCGAGGGCTACAGAGGCAGCGCCCAGACGGACGGGAAGGCAGCCCAGGGAGCGCACCTCTCTCAGTGCCCACACGCCAGGTCACTCCTGCACGAGCCAGGTTCCTCGAATGCAGCTCAGAAACCAACTCAGACTTCTTTAAGTTTCAAAGGACATTTACTGGTTTCCGTCAGCACCGTGTAGGAAGGTGGGACCTAGGTCTCCATCTTCACTGGAAGTCTCCCGACTCTTTCCCAAGCTTCTCCGCGTGCTGGATCCGTGCTTTGGGGCTGCCTCCTCTCTGAGGCTAGATCCGGGGAGGTCCGGGCTGAAACTCTCTGCTTCACTCCTGAGAGCATTCCCACGGGGACAACTTCAGGATGGTGTGCCTGGCCCGGATTACCAGCCACTGCTGCACCAGACGCTCTCCAAGAGGTGCGGGGGCGGGGACCGGGCCGGTGGGTCAGGGGCCAGCGGGTCAGGGGCCGGCGGGTCAGGGGCCAGCCTGTGCAAGCAGGGCTCTGATTGGCGCCTGGGTTAGGTCAGCATTGGAACTGTATGTGGGATGGGCAGGGCAGGTCTCCAAAATAAACCGGGTCTGTCGTCGGAGGAAGAGGGCAGACAAAGCCCCAGTGATGTCCTTCCCACGTTACATCGTTGTATTTTCCTACTCTGTCAGAGACTCTCAAAGAGAGAGAAGCAGTATTTGTGTTTGTGGGGAAGGAGGACCGGACCAAATCAAGAAGGCTGATCAGATGCCCGAAATCAATCAACTCATCCAGAATTGACTGATAAAGCAATCCTCCCTAACGTATTCTCAGTTAAATTAACCAGAATTGTTGTTGTTAGATTGATGAATGGTTCCATTATTTTCGACTTGAATCAGCTGAAATGCTTCTCTGTTGTACTGCCCCTAAATGGTTTGATCTGTGGAATTACATAGATATTAGATTTTACTTGCCTACTTAGTTATTTTTTTTTCCCCCAAGTATTGCTTTGGCTTTGGTTTGAGTTGGAGAATGTTGAAAAGGCTTCTCAGATATGAAATTATCCGCGGATCATACAAAACTGTGTTCTAGCTTTGGACTAGAGCATTTTGGGTGTGTTTTCCCCCAGTTCTTAAAAATTACCTTAAAAAAAAAAAAAAAACTTACTTCAAACTACCTTACTTAATATGGAAAAGAAAGCTAATTGTAGTACAAATTTACACCCACCAACGCTTATTTTCTCTTACTCCCTGTTGGAGGAGTTAGTTACCAAGATCGAAAGGGCTTCAGTTGTGTGTCTGGGTATCACGCACCACACTCTCGTGCCCATGTCTTCTCTTTACCTCGGAGAGAAATATTTTTACCCTGTTATAAAAATAAAGAATTATTTCTGGTTCCAAAAGGAATAAGTACACACGGTGAAACACTCATCCTCTGTTGTTAAAGTTTGTTTGTTTTTTAAGGAAAACAAGTCATAGTTAGTGAGCCACTCGGGGAGGTTCAGACAGCCGTTGTTGGGGTGACATAAGGGAAAGTGAAGGCACTTTATGCCTCTATGTTGGTGACTCAAAATTAGGGCTTAGCACGAGTTCCAGCAAGAACGGCTTACGGGTGTATTCCTAACAGCAAACAAGCAAATGATTTTTTAAAAT